AGCCTTACATTTGCCACCAGAGAGGGGGTGCAGTGGTGAACTTGGGGCCCACTGACAGAATTTACCCTCAAGATGTTTTCAGTTGAATGTCCTCTGAAGTGGGAGGATTTTTTCTGCTTCTGTTTTAGACATCCTCAAGTCCACTGTGGGTATTTTATGTGGTGAGATCATATTGGTGGTGCTTTCACTTTGGCATCTTTTAGACACTCGGAGGAAGTAAGAAGAAAGAAGAAGAAACACATATCCTACAAAACAACCCTTTCTTGCAGTGTGCATCAAAGGCACTTCTGTGGCAATGTAGAACTTCTAAGCTGGAACTTCTAAGGGTTGTAAGTGCGAAGCCTTTGCTGCAGTGTCAAGAAAAAGCACTGCCTTTTGCTTTGTACCCACTTATGATTGTCGTCATCGTTGGATTGAAAAATAGTAGGAAACAATATTCTCTGTTAATATTCTCCATAAATCTCTGACATACTTAAATGACAGTCCCATAACTTCCCTAAATGAGAGCTTGCGGTCAGATTGTTAAAACATCATAAACTGTATTTACAAGGCAGGTTTTACAGTCTCTCTGAAAATGTAAAGATGTGGTGGTGATTTCGGGACGTGGAGGGCCGGCTCAGTCAGATAGGTCAAACAGCCAGTCACTGTGAGCACAGGACTTAGCCTTTTGATCAATCTTATCAAAACCCCCAACTTCCAGTCTGTTAAGGCTAGTTTAGAACTATCAGATAATCAGATAATCAATCTCTTTTGGTTTTGCATTTTATTGGAACGAGGTCTCCATGTTTTTAAGTGCTACTAAATCAACATAAGCAAAGATTAGCAATGCATTATCTTGCATATTTTCTTAAATAAACCATAGATCAATATTCTCTTGTCTAAAAACATCTTCACTGTCTTTTCACCTTTGTATTTGTTTCCAGAGGTGTCATCTGCGGCACCTAAGATGCACTTTGCTATGCAATATTGATAATGAATCTTTGTGCATTAGCATGTGCAACCTCCCATCCTTGTGTTGTTTACTCGTAGCACCTGTGGTCGCTTTGTTAACAGGAAATAGGAAGTTGCCAATTTACATCTTGCTCTGCCATGACTTTATTGTTGATGCAACTGATGTAGCTGCCTCCTCAGACGTCTGACGTGACTTTTGGACAACACCTTTAAATGACTGTGTTTGATATATGTGTCAGATATATATTATTCAGTGCAAAGAAAAGAGCAATCCATCATGAAAGGTTTTGATCATATGTGCTGTATTACCCTTGCTACAGTTTAGTGATGGCCATACCTGTGGTTTAGACCAGCCTCATATGCTGTACAGTATTATTTGACATTGCACCAGGATCAGCTTAGATACACTATATAAGATAGCTATCCAGTCAGTGCAAATATAGCATAAGCATGTAATCACATGCCACACTAACGCTACTGAAATCCAACTTGACACAGGACCCCCATCAGCATGTGCAGAAGGCCAACAAAGTTTCGCACATACAGTACAGAACACACACACGAGACAACTGTATATTCATTTATAATTCTACAAGGCTAATGATCTTAGATCAGTCCTACACAATTTAGTATTCGACATCCATAAAGGTGGGTGAATTGAAACAGCAGAGGCTGAGATATCCTCACATTTATTTCTTAGCATGAGTCAGCTTTACAAACACTGGATCCTACATTTCTGCCTGTTAAATGCACTCATCTTTCAAACTTCATGCCCACAGTTATTAACGCAGGTTTTCTGTCAGATATTCTGCCAAAGGTCTTAAACCCATCTCATAATGACACCGGTGACATCACAGCGATATCACCAGGGTTATTTTTACTCCCCAATATTTATTTAGTTATTTTATCCCTATGTATCCCTTCATAGACACAAGAGTTTTTTCTTCTTATGTGTCAAATCGGTGGAGTTCCCCTTTAAATTCTACCTGTCAGCTGTTGACAGGCGGAATAGTTGTTACATTTTTGTAGGTCAGCCATTCTCCAACAATTCAATGTAAATACCAACAGGAGGATTCATATTCGGTTTTTGACAACCCAATGCTGGTTAACCACCTGTCAAATTCCTGCCTTGAAAACCAACACAGCATGGGGACCTAGAAATTCATTCTCCCACACAGTCTTTTTCCTCCCCTCTTTTCAGAACACTCAAATTATATCATTAGTTAGTTTTAGCTCCAGCAGGAGGGCATCATATGACTGCTTCTCCATTCAGGCTCCTTATTGTTTGCCCAGCTTTCTCGCAGTGAGCTACCTCTCTGCCTCTGCCCTGTCTTTTTTGCCCATGCAGGTCTGCTGGGGAAGAGCCCTCCAGCTAATTAGAGACTTGCCAGTGGAATTTCACTGCGACAAAGGGAGCTATTCATGTCGGCAGGATGGTGAAAAGGCCGCACTGGCAGCAGCGATAGCATTGCTTGGAGGGGTTAGCAAAATGAAGAGACTTGACTTCCAAAGACACCCAAGCTCTCAATTCAATGCACTACCCCCACAGCTCTTTGTTTCTGTTTTGCCATCTATCATCTTCTGTTGCTCTGCAGTGTGGATCGGGTAGATCTGAGTTGGCCCCTGTCACAGACCGTCGGCACAGGGGCTAAATCGTTGACCTCCCATCTTACCATGTTGTCCTCAGTGAGTTGATCTGGTGTCTGTGTGGCATGTGTGACCCATATTCCTTCAATGCACTTTTCATTCCAAACCGCCATACACTGCACAATCACAATCCATTTCACCGCCTCTCACTGTGAGTCCACTGCCACAGAGATCCTTTGTGTAAACTCAGTGTATAACCTTTAGCCTCATTTATTAGAGAAATTACTGATGTTGGACTTCTGTTGTATTTCCATCCATCAAACTAACCATCCGTCTACCCATCCATCTCACCATCCTTTCCTCTCCGCATCATTTCTGCAGGAAAACAGATTCTTTATGTTCAGACAGAGGGGAAACCCCCTCCATGTACAATGCAACCCACCCATGTCTTTGTCATCACATTTTCCATGCATGCTATAATGGATCAAATTCTCTCCGACAGCGTATGTAATTTTAAATCCCTGTATCAACATATGTGGTGATGTAGTGCATTTTCTGGATTATAAATTTAGAGACTTAATTGTGAACATTCATTCTTGACCGCAGTTGATAAAAAACAAAACTTCTGAAACTTCTTCAGCAGATGGAGTTTATTCCCAAAAGCTAGTGAGTGAATTAAAAAACTGTGGATAACATAAGCCGACGAATTAGCTGTTTTTGTAAAAAAAAACTAATGAATAAAATATGAGAAAATTCAAGATTCACTTGATGGCTTTTTCCAAAGCTTTCAACCATGACCAATGGTAGACCTCAGCACATGGGCTTTACTCAGAAAAAGTTAGTAAGGGGACCTTAAGTTGAGGACTTTTTTGTTTACAGTGTGTATAAAATAACCAGACAGGAAGGTCTGTTTTTGGATAAGCAAGAAAATTAAATTAATGATATATGTGAAAAGTCAGTTAATTTCTTCACATTGATGCAAAATCATCATCAACCAAAACTTGTTGATTTTTTAACAGCGCCTGCAATAGCCTAACATTGACAATTGATGAATTTATATCATCTCACAGTATATATGATGATTCCGTCCAACAATAGTGTTCACACATGTACATAGAACTGTGACATACATAACCAGCATGTATTAGATGCCAATATTACAGCAGGAGACATTGACACTTTGATCGACACTTCCTAATTTCACAACAAAAACACATCCACAAATAGGAAGTCAGACACACACACACATGCTTTGCCTCTAGCACTTCCTGTCCCATGGGACCGTGAAGACATTAACAGCTTCCTCTTTCCCTTCCTGTGTCAAAGCACTTTTAAGGTTAGGTGGTTTTCTTACCTTCATCTTTCTCAAATTTCTGGATATTTATATTTATATTTATATTTTCTCTTCATTCAGTCTCTCTTTTCCTCTTGTCATTTGTTTCTTTTTCATTCTCTCTAGCTCCTCTTTGTTGTGTAGGTATTTTTGTGGAATTTTGTGCAATTTCTATGGAGACAAAAGGCATAATGAATTGTAGCAGGGATGAATACACAGGTACAGCTACAATCACATTTTCCCTTTGTGGTTTATAGGAACTGCCAGATAGGAACTGACGTCAAAGTCAATGTAGCAGAACAACATATGGTGACCTATCTGCCGCTCAGTTGACCACTGCACTGAATCGCCGTGATTTTGAATAAAGCTGAACTTCAGACTTGAAATAAAATACTTCTGTTTTACCTTTTGTTGGCACCTCTAGTAGTGAACAATTATTGATATTGCTGTAATTTTGTTATGTCACTGTCAGAAAGAATGGAAATACGAACATTTCCTGGAATGCTGAACCACTTCTTTAACCATATGGAAATTTGGCAGTTCGCAGCATATAGCAGCTAGCTTAGCACACGAATGCTGCACCAACTTCTTCTCAGAGATGATGTCAAAGTTAGACTCTAAATGTAACAGACGTCACTGTCAGTCTCTAGTTCCAATGCTGATATTAAAACCAGTAATGCTAGCTGTAGGAGGATGATTCTGCACTTAATATAGCATGACTGTGACGCAGGCCCATAGATACGTGTTTGGCTTTCATGTGAGGTAAACAGGCAGGGCTTCTGAGGTCACAGTTACATTTTCACAGGAGAAGCGAGGGAAGAAATAAATGGAGAGGAGGAAGGAGAAAGGCTGTGAAAACAGGGAGGACAGACAGATAGGAACAGTTAAGGAAGGAGGGAACAGAAAGAGCTAACAGAAAAAAGACAGAAACAGAGAAAAGTAAGCATGAGGACAAAGCAGGGATCACAGGGAGGACGGTGGGTATGGTGGGTGTCCATGCCGGCCTTTGTACTGTATGGTCTTGTTTGTTTTCTATATGCTATATCCCTCCCTTCCTCCTCCCCTCCACCCGCCTCCCTCTTTCTCAGCTGCTCACCCACCCTAACAATCCTCTTTTCATTTCTTCCAGGGCGGAGACAACACAGACCACAGGAGGCCTAGGGAAATCATTAACCGCACACAAACACATACAATATGACTGGTAGGTTCTTCCCATCTCCCTCATGTGTTTTCTACATGTATGTTTATCATGTGTGTTTAAACATCACAGACTCAGCAAGCAGTTGCTTTGGAGTCGGTGCTGTTTGTACAATGATTCATTATCTGTATCTCTTGTACTGTCTTCATTCTCTAATTGTGCACAGCGATTTGTCACATTGTGCGCTCTCTACAGTCGCACTCACAGTTCTGTAGTTTATAACAAGGAAACTTCAGTGACACCCACTGATGAGTTGCCACAGGTATTACAAGGGGTGTGATTTCCACTGGATACAAGGATGTCATGTTACCCTCACTTTCCAAAATCTGATGTTGAAACCTTTAAAGTTTCAGTTTGATTTACACAGTAAAATCCCTTTAAACAGTGTTGTCTACAGTCCAGCTATCCCAGTTTAGATGAAGTAATCTCAAATTCATAAAAATCTCTCATCTGGGTCACCTTGAGTCATTACCGTGCACTCACAGGAATAATAAGCTTCTTCAGATAGAATGAGTGCTTTGTCAATTATTTATTTTTTTTACCTGTATTTTACCTGTCAGGCTTAATACACGTATTTTAATTTGGTTTTTTTTCAAGCATTTTATGCCTTTTGCAGAGAATTGACAATAGAGAAATAACAAGAAATCAGGGGGAATGACATCCCCGGCTGGACTTGGACCAAAGAGGCTACAGTCAATATTTTTACAACAGTGTATCTAATGAGGGTGTGAAAGAAATGTGACAACATGAAAGGAGAAGCTCGTAGCAATGATTCATCTGAATCTGCTACTCAACTCAGCTTTAGAGAGCTTTATAGTGATTTTCAACTCAATGTTTAGCTGTCCACTCTAACCGCTCTCTTGGTGTCATTTCCAGCCGGAGCAGGCAGCGATTTTCAGCAGAAAATCAATAGAAACCAATACACTACCTGCTCAGCACCAAACAGCACACAGATACAGTCAGTGACTAGCTGGTGAACATAGTGGAGCATTCAGCAGCTAAAGAGTCGTTTCCTCAGGAGATAGTGGATGCCAAAAAGAGAACTAAAAGAGAGTGAACATCAGACAGGTGGCGTCTGTGTTCGCCCTGTCAACTTGAGGGGTGATATGTCTTAAACTCTTTACATGATGACCTGGGAATCAGAAAGTGCAGGCAGAGCATTTAAGTAAGTAATACGTTTTCTTCATTTAGAAACTGTGTTTGAAGTAATTGGAATGCCAGAGGGAATGTATATAAACATATATACATTTTTAATCTACTGGTAAGCAGCTGAAGTAAAACTGATTCATTTCAGTATTCATGTTTTTGGTCTTGTAGTATTTCCTCATTCATCTAGTTCACATCATGAATATTTGACGTCATTGCGTCACACTTGTCATAATATCTTGCAAGGTTTTAATGGTTATTAATGACCAAACTGGCTATAAGTAAATGTTTTTTCTCTGAGGAACTCTTCAAGGCAGGAATTTGAAATAACCAAGACTTTTATTAAAATTCTGTTTCTATGACTCTGCAAAAGCATCTTCAGCAGTCAGCAGACTGTCCTCTCCTCTCCTTTCCTCCTCTCCTCTCCTCCTTCCCTCTCATCTCCTCTCCTCCTTTCCTCTCCTCTCTTCTCCTCTCCTCTCCTCTCTGCACAGCTGGAGAGAATGGGGAAGTGCATAATTGCGGTTTAATCCTGCACTAAGTCCCTGCAGCATTAGGGAAACAGCAGTGAGAGATAATGCATAGCAGCTCAGGCAGAGTGAGACAGAATAACCCCCAGAGTTGTTTGGACAGATGTTTGGTGAGAAAGGCTTTAACGGTAGAGAGCTCATACTGGACCAAAGGGGACTGGTGTCAGTCACAGGTTGAAGTGCTACTTGAGGGAACCGGACACAGGTGATACAAAAGTGATCGCTGCTGTTCCAGGATAATAGCACAGCTTTGAAGGTTTGAGTCTCACGCTGGAATTGATCCGTGTATCTCACTGTCCATCTACATATTGATAGTTTTATTCCTTTTCAAATAAAATGAGCATTTTCGTGTGGCAGCCCCCTCATGTGCAGCATGTGCACATTAGGTTTGGTTGTGTCCGTCTGTATTGCAGTGGGAGAAGAGGTTGTAAAGAAGTCACTTTTACTATTATAAGCATTTGACTGTGTCATAATTGGATATGATACTGTTGTAAATAATTGACATCCAGGGTGTTGACCCCTGACCCCAAGTAAGAAAGGTTAATGACCTAGTTTGACTAGACTTGACTAGAGTTAAGGTTGCTTTGAGCAGCCTAAAGATTGTTGTTGCACAGTCAAATATTTTGTATCGATATTGGCTAAAATAAATACTGTACTATAGTCCCGTACTTTCCCATATTTGCAGCCAGCAGTGTACACAATATTCAGGTAGTGCTCCTTAAGAAGCTCTGCAGCTTCTCGTTATTACAGCACCGACTGCCGCTTTCATCAGTTAAAATGACAAATGTTGCATTAACATTAATTCAGTGACAAACTTGATGGCAGGCCAAAAAAGCTGTTGTCTGGTTCAGACAACTCTCCTTTGCTCTCTGCAAGCCGGTGCATACCGAGACAAATCCCAGTGGGCCGCAGCATTAGTGGGCCATAAGAAAATCCATAAAGTTTTTACCGGCCAGCTCGGCCCTGTCTGGCTCTTCACCAGCCCTGTCTGTGTGGCTGTCAGCCGGGATGCGCACGCTGCGTCACTGTCAACACACACTTACGTCATAGGGTCCACAGTACCGTTGCAGCTGTAAAATGGCGATAAATATTTGGGGTTGCAATAAATACATTTACCCTCGTAGAGCCAAGTGCCCTCAATAACCCCCCAGGCCAAAGGCTAAATTTCTTTCCCAAGACACCCCAGACAGCAGCCTTCATGTCAATTTAAGGACCTTTCGAGCCACTTTCAAGCACAGCTTTTCTATCAGAGTGGCCCCATAGGACAGTATGTCCACGCTCTTTGGTTAGACGAAGGCCATGGAATATATGGCATTTCTCCACAGAAGGAGGAGATATTTCGTCAATGTGGAAAGAAAATCGTTAAGGAGGATATTTTAGAAGGTGTGTTTAGCTCCAGGAAGTGAGTCTTTCAGAGCGCGGATGGGGGTGGTGCAGACTTTAGACTCACACTTTTGGGTTCAGGGGTTGATGTGCATGTATGTGTGTGTGCAGGGGGAGGGGGGGTACTGTTTGCATATATGCAGCCGTGTGTCCATGTGAATGTGTGTCTGTTAGTGCTTGTGTGTGTCTTTAAGTAGGAGCCAGGCGGGGTGTTAGGCCGGGGCGCAGGCAGGCGAGGAGGTGGGATCAGTCTGCCATCAGTGGACTGGAGGCAAGCATTGTTAACACCTCATAAATCTCACCTGGTGCTACAGGACCACTGCTGACATAGCTGCTGCAGTGCACACTCACACACATGCATACACACACCTCATACACACATGTACAAACTGTGTAGCATGCTAATTTTTTTGTGGGTACATGCTGTATCCAGCCATGTGTATATATAGTATGTGTTACTGCACACACACACACACACACACACACAACCACACACACACACCACACACACACACACACACACACACAACACACAGGGTAAAGTCAGAGCCAGAGAGTCAGTCATGTCAGCAGCAGCAGTAAAACTGGAAAAACTGTAGTGATGTATAATCTGTCTGTATAATGTATCACATTTCATCCGTCCACTCTTTTGACATACACAAGAACAAAGTAAAGTTATTAATTATAATATATTATATATTATATGGCAGAACTGTAGATGCACTGAATCACAACCATTGAATTAATTTTGCAGCACAGTACCCCAAGTAAGACTAATCCGTCTTCCATTTGTCCTGGTCCTCATCACAATCCAGTGAATTTTACGTTAGTGCTTATTGATTTGGTTCTTTTGGTAACATTAGTTGTCACTCACTGTCCAGACTCAGGCTGTTTCTGTTTTTCAGTGTATTATTAGTGTATTGATTTATTATTGTATATTATATCTGTCAACTTCTTGTGACTCTAAGCCAGTTGGTGTAGCCTAAAACAGGAGTCTATTTTTTATAGTCCCATTGTGTTTTAGTGGTTTTGATTTGATGGACAGTGATGGAAATGTTTAGCTTTTTTGTGTATTAATTCTCTGTTATTGTAATGTTTAGAAATCCCTGCGATTTTAGTTATTTTTTTTGAGCTATTAAGAAAATCCTTCATCTGTAGACAAATGCCCTTTACTGTTTTGGTTGTGTAAGTTTCTGTATATACAGCCCAGGGGCTGTGCACAGCACTAAAACAACACATTAAAAAAAAAGAACTAAACTAAACTCTGCTTGTGGGAGATTGCTCTTCTTCACTATTGTGCTTTTTAATTTAATTTTATCTCCTCAGGTGTAAACACTTGTTAAAACACAGCAGGCAAGAATCCAGTGACGCGATATATGTATTAAATTTTAGGAAAAGTGTCATAGTATAGAGAACACACCACCATATGTATACAATCTGAATAACACAAGTTTACTTTTGCAACCAGACCATTGGGAATCTGCATTTGTATGTATTTGTCCCTGTAGCATCCAACATCATAGCCCTCACTTCACATTTTCAAAACTGTTATCTGGCTGTCTATCTATCTCTATTTCTATATATGTTTTTGAGAATCAATACAATATCACAAAACAGAATATTCTTACACCCCCACCTGGATAGGAATTTTGGAAACTTACTTTCTGTCTGAAAAGGGTCACACTGTGCACCTGTTCTGTCTTTTAAATCCAAGAAAATTGATGATGACTGATTTGCCACTCAGCACACAGTCACACACACACACAGACTTTAATGAGCGCAGAGCCAGGTTTACTGGAACTTGTTTTTGGAAAAAGTATGACAGGTAGGCTCCATTCAAGGTAAAATCTAATCTATATGCCTGAGGCATCCTGCGAACAGCCTAGCATTCTTCCAAATTAGCTCAACCAGCTCACCCCTGACATGGACTCTGTTTATTAACTA